CCCCAAAACCCCAAAACCCCAAAACCCCAAAACCCCAAAACCCCAAAACCCCGATTTTATATAAGGTTATTGAACAATTTGAGCAGTGCTAAAGAACCGATTCTAAATTATTGAGAGATTTTTTAATCCCGATGATGCTTTCTGTCTCCTGATTGCTTATGGGAGTCGTATCTACCCTCTTTGGGTCTTCTAGAGGAACCTTCATCTCTTCTTTGGCTTCTCTTACCTGACTTATCATCTTTAGAGTAATTCTCTGATTTTCTATCTTGGTAGCTTCTATGATCCTTTCTTGGGGATTCAATAAGCCCTTCTTCTCTGGGATGATCTCCTGTTACTCTTTTAGTTCCCTTAATAGGCATAGTTGGTTTGCCACTCTTGTTTGGTGCCAGAGGCTTGGTAGGAAGCTTTTTACTATCGCCATGCTTACTGCTTTTGAGTAATTCCGATTGTCTATCATCTGAAGTCTTCTTTATTCTACGATTATCATGGCAATCTCTATCATCCTTTGAGTTGTCTTTTGAATATTCTTGGAGATGCTCTTTTTCATCTCTTCTATATTCTTTATTTCCTCTTGATTCTCTTCTATCTCTTGAATCTTTATTGTCTCTAAACTCTCTAGAATCTTTGGGTTCTCTCGAATCTCTTGGCTCTTTTGAATCCCTTGGCTCTCTCGAGTCAATCGCATCTCTTGAGTCTCTAGCATCTCTTGAATCTCTAGCATCTCTTGAATCTCTAGCATCTCTATGATTTCTTACATCTCTCGAATCCTTTCCATTTCTGGAGTCTCTCTCATCTCTTGCATCTCTATAGTCTCTGGTGTCTCTCTTATCTCTTATATTTTTCCTATCTTTATTATCTCTTTTCTCAACAGAGGATGATCTATGACCTTGGTCACCTCTATCGCTGACATTTCTTGATTTCTCCCTCTTGATTTCATTCTTATATCTCTTTTCATCTTTCTTTGAACTATAACTAATTGTTAGTAATATTCAGGGTCAATAACTTTACCTATCAGATTTGGACTCCCTGATAGTGTCCTTTTCCTTTCTGATGTCTTTATGAGTTCTTCTACTATCATCATGTCTTTTATTGCTATTTGACTTATCAGTAGAGTATCTCTGGGTATCTTTATCTCTACTCTCTATCTTGGGCTTTGTGACTCCTTGTCTTCTGGTATCCCTATCATTCTTATCAGATTCCTCAGGCTTTGAAGTCTTCTTCGACTCATTTCTACCTACAGCTTGCATTAAATATTGCTCATATGTTAAAAGACAGGGTATTTCACGGGGATCACTAAGCTCATTACCATTATCTTTATGATGTTTAGTCTCTTCTTTGATTCCTGAATCTTTCCAGTCATCATCCTTCTCCTTCCGGTCGCTTCTGTCACCCCTTGCTTTCTGTTTTTCCTTTTCATCTCTCTTCTTGTCGCTCTTGGGAGTGTCTTTGAGCTTATCGCTAGATTTCTCTCTGGATAATTTATTGTCTTTGTGCTCTTTCTTGGCACGATCATCTTTTTGATCTTCTCTTTCTTTTTGTCTTTCTAATTTTCTTTGTTCTTCCTGCTGTTTTAGCTCTTTTAGTTCCTTTTCTCTTTGCTCAGCCTCTTCTTTCTCTCGCTTAGCTCTTTCTTCAGCTTCTTTTTCTTCTTTGGTCTGGGATCTGATGAAGTAGGATGGTTGCTTGAGGCCGAATGGCTCTTCTAACTAGATTATTGATTAGCAAGTTGCTTACGTATAAAAGAGTCAGATGTTCAATGTTATAGCATCTTTCAGGGTTGTTGAATCTCGTCATGTTATTGTCAGCAATAGACCGAAGGCATTTCCAGGTGTAGACATTGTCGTGGATTGCTTTCTCTTCATAGTCAATTCCTTCTTCAGGATCCATATCTCAGAAAACTCTTTCAAGCATAGTACCAATAGTAGGAATTCTTGACTCCTTATGCTCGATCTATATGTGTTAGGAATGAAAATTCCTACCACGTTCTTCTTGAAGTACTTTAGGATTGGTCTCTGGCCTTTCTTGTCTGTGAAGGATGGGGTTCCAAGCATCTTTCCACTCGGACACTTTCTGCTAATGATCTTAGTTCTGTATTTAAACTTTGAGAAATATTTCTGATCTCTCTTTTTCTCAGATTGTGGCTCTTCAACAAGTTTAGCCTCATTCATTGATTTCAGCTTTTTAGTGGATCAATCTCTAATTTTTCTGATTCTGTCAACCAAGGAGGAAGATTGCTTGCCATCATAACCCTTACACTTGTCATTCTTCCATTTAGTCTACAGATAAGAACACAATATTCTTACCCAAAATTTATCTGACTCAAGCATTTGGGATACTTTAGAGCTTCTCAGAGGTCCATTTTTATCAGTAGAGGCAGAGTGCTCCTCACTAGTCTTCCTTCTCTTGTGCTTCCTTCTCTTATCATTGTAGCCAGAGATAAGGTTATTGATCCTATTTTTGACTCTTTGCTGCTCTTTCTTCATGATGCCCTTTGAAGATTTTGTTTGCATGAGACTGGAGGGCTGGCTAAAGCTCTGGAAAAGAATCAGCAGCTGGATCATAAAAGTCTCTCTGAAATGAACATCCTTAAACTGCAGATTTATCAATTTATACTTTGAAAGGAACTTTGGGTATCTCTTTTCAATCTTTTCTGCTTCGATATGTTCCGAAATTGGGTTATTTTCAAACACGTCAAGGACATGAGATACCATTTCCATGAATCTCTTATAAATTGGAGTCTTCTCAACTGGTTCTTCCTTCTTCTCTTCCTTTGAGTCCTCCGATTCCTCTTTTGGTAATTTGCTCAAGAACTCAGCAAAATCATTATTGGGTTTCATCTCAAATAGCTATAATTAATAAATCCTTCTGACTAAGTTTTGCGTACCTGGAAAGGATCTGAGATATACTTTTGTAAGAGCCAGAAGTTTTCAAAGAACTCATAAGAAAGCATAGATTCTTTAGAAATTTCATTAACTAGCAGATTCCCTTGTGCTTCTTCTTTCATCTGCACATCTTTCTCAATCTCATTGGTGATTCTTTTGTTGTAGGACCCTTTGAAGTTCACTCCTGATCTGTGAGAAAGAGGGAAAATATTAGCAATTAGCTTATGTATCTGCCCAATGAACTCTGTGTCATTAGTTGAACTGAGCCTGTCGAGGATCCCATTACTAATTCTTAATAGAGGGAGGTAGAACTGTTTAACATTTCCGGATTTTTGAATAACTTCACTTAGTAAGAATAACATAGACTCAAGATCTTCAGTTCTAATCATCTGGAATAGTTCTTCAATGCAAACTAAATAACTATAGCTCAACGGTCCTTACCGTAGATGAGGTTTCTCTCACAAATATTTTTGCTGAAAAGAGCGAACAAAATATCATAAAAGGCGGTCTCGAGGGTAACTAGCCTATTTAGGGAGATCTTTCCTGCTTCATCTCCTTCCTCTGAAAATTTTATGTAACAGTTTCTCTATAGTAGAGTTAGACATTAGTCATGGGTTCTCAGGGTGTTAGAGGGCAATCTAAACTAGAAATTACTCTATCGCATATTTGACCTTAAGAGCCAGATTGTGAGTGTCTATATTGCCAAGATGATACACATAAATTGACTTGGTTACCCTCACCAGAGCCTTGGTGCATTGACAAGTAAGTTCTGTTCTGCAGGGAGCACTAACAAACCCTTTCTTGATGATTAGCCTTTAGCAATTTAAAAATTCTTAGCTATTTTCAAACATAGTGGTTCAGATAAAATCACGAAAAACTTACTATAGCTTCTGTCTGGAAATTTCTAAACTTCTGATAGAGAATCAAATCAAATATTTTGGCTTGGAATCCTTCTTTATTCTTCCTTTCCTCCTGATGTAGGCTTGCCAGGGCATTAATAGTGCTTTCTAAATGTCGAAGGTAAGTTATGAACGTATATCCATGAGCAAAATAAGAAATCACTCACCTTTTATGTTATCAACTTCAGTATCATCCTCTTGGATCTGAGAGAGTTTCTAAACATTTAGTTTGCTGATATATTACCTTCAACAACTGCGAAATAGTGTCTATAATCTTTTCTCTGAATAATTGGCCAGTATCCATCCCTTTCTCCATATTTTAGATAATTTTTAATAAATTCCTAATTTTATAAACCTTTGATCATTTTTAGACTCGAAAAATGGGGTTTTGGGGTTTTGGGGTTTTGGGGTTTTGGGGTTTTGGGG